TTGTATCTAAAAATTAATTTTTCAAAAATTTTTAATTTTTTTTTATTATTCGAAAATTTTTTTTACATGTCAGGAACTCTAGGCAATCGCAAATTGAATCTATTAAGCCGCTCAGAACTATTCCACCTCGAAATTCGATAAAAAGTTAGCACCCCATTTTTAAAAAATGTAAAAAAATGTTTATTGAGCGGTACTCTTGTTATTAACTATAGGGAACTCTTCGTCTCGTCAAAAGGAAGTGGGAACTCTAATCAGAACTCCTGAGTACTATAGTTGGGGTGCTAACTTAACATACCCCAATGATCTGCCTGTGCTGCATTCTTTCCTCTGGTATAAGGGACAGTGTAGGTGTAAACCACACTCTCTGGCTAAATATTCCCCTTTTCCGCAGTTCATACTGCAGTAATTCCGTGGTCAAGGCTTCACTGCTGCGAGTATGTTCTCTCGTCATGCAGCGAAAGCATTAGACTTAAATTTTAGAGTTGTTAATTTATAGTTGCCAAAATTATGTTTTCTTCTCTCAATACAGAGCGAAAATTCGAAAGCTGCTGAATTGAAGAATTTCGATTTTGTAACGAATGGAAAGAATGAAATAAATTAAGCAAAAAGAAAGTTGTTATTTTCATTAACATAGCTCAAAAATAGTAAATATTTATTAATATTAAAGTAACATTAAAACATTAAGAGAACAAAATATCGTTAAAGTTAATAAAAAAGGAAAAATGTTAGCAAAGCGCTTACAAATATAAGTTATTAAAAAGTAGAAATCAGATTTACAATTTTGATCTGATCATATACTTCTTGCCGATGAATAATCTCACGTAATATTACAATGTTATATTAATCATTAACATGTCACGTATATAAGTAGTTATTTATACCCGCTTGCGCGATTTGCGTATCTACCTAATGACGTTCTCTCCTCTTGCAGCATGTAATTCATGCATAATTTATACCGTGTGTCCTTTCTGATATACTATCATCTACGATCTGCAAGATCGTAAACAAACAAGTCCCCCGTTGTACACGTGTTGCAGTTATTTACAACTTACTATTGTGAATTGCGTCGTTCTTGTTATGACGATGTAAAACTCGTGCAGTGCGTCGGGACTTTCGATTAATTTCACAAACTTGGACAGTTGCGAAGACAAATCTTATAGAGATATGGACACGACGATAGACTTATCTTCGACTTTTATTATAATAGCTTATCGATTTATGATACTTATGGTCAGGGAATGGAAGTAACTCTTTCGTTACTTGTAACGAAGTTACAATTACAAATTACTTTTTTAGTAACGGCGTTACTTTTTTTTTAGTTACTGCAACGGTAACATAAGATTTTTTGGAGAACGGTAACGAAATTTACTTTTATCGTTACTTTGCACACGATTGGACATGTTATTCCATTATACAAAAATCACATGTTATTATATTACGACAGCTGTAAAGGTGGTTGGAGAACATTGAGTGTTTTTATTTAACAGGAGTACAAGCTACATTTAGTTTAACTTATTCTAAACATCATACACATTTTGTTCTAATTGAGCTGTGTACAAAGCTTTACTCTGTACATTTCTGTTGAGCAATTGGAAAACATTCCTTTTGCTATAATTTTCTTTCTATCAAAATATTTGATTTATAGCTAAAAGTATAGATTAAATAAAAATATAGCTGTATTATAATAAGGAAATTATATGTATTTCTTAATTTTTCTTTTAATCTCTAACTTATATTGTGATTCAGATAATCCTATACAATCCTATATATCTAATCTTCTAGTTTCCTACAAAGTATAAAAAAATTCCTAAAATATTTTAGCTGTCAACTGCTGTAGCGATCCTGAAGTGATTTTTGATAGCTGAGAAATATATACAGAACCACTATTTTCAGAAATTATTTTGCATTTCTATCTTCTATGTGATACATCGGACATATGTATATCTCAGTTTACTGCATATTTTACAGATTTTAGAATTATGAAATTGTGTATTTAAAAAAAAAAACTGAAAAATAAAACTGTACCTAATGTTAGTGTTACATATAAATATATATATTCCTTTTAATAACATTTAAATTTAAAAAATACTGCAAAATACATTTTCAGACTGATTTTAAAAAAGAAGAGGATATACAGACTCTTAGCATTTAAAAAACAAAGATAGAGGAAGGCATATAAGAGTCAAATACAAAATTATAGACAACAGCATCATAACAGATAATACCTTTAATTACAGAGATGCTTAATATTAAAAAAACAGAGAATGACAGTCTCAACCTACAGACAGACACAGAGGGTCTACATCATAAATCATATATTCCTATTATAAACAACGTTTGACTTTGCATTACCAAATCTTACGCATTACAGTTTCGTACGTCGAGTTAGTTTGACGGTTATAATTTTTATATTTGGGACGATTTGCACTTGTATTGCGAATACAATTTTCTTCACCGCCACCGACTTTATATTATAGTTAGATGACTGATTTACCGACATGGTCGACATGGTTTTTTTCGATTTTCTGCACTCGAGGGTGAGTTTTTATCAGAGAAACAATTGCTTGTCTTAATATAATTTTTAGAAACGTAATTTTGTGTTCTTATTAGAACCATAAGGATATTTCGCAAACGATCATCCAATCGCTTGACGAGCTCTTTTGTTCCTTCTGAGAAAATACTCAATGATATTTCGCAAACGATCATCCAATCGCTTGACGAGCTCTTTTGTTCCCTCTGAGAAAATACTCTACTTTCTTTGAACATGACCGTCTACAACTCCATTATCGATTTAATTTTGTTAATTTTACTGCGTTAATTAATATTTTGTACATCTGAGGAGGGCTCAAATATAGAGCCAAAACGTAATGTTTTCTTTTTTTATTTTTAATTTAGAATTTAATTTATACATGCGCGAGTTTAGAAATTAGTAGGTAGTATTTTATATATTTTTATTTGACTCTGTAATTAAAGGTATTATCATGTTTATGATGTTGTTGCCTATAATTTTGTATTTGATTCTTATATGTCTTTATCTATCTTTGTTGATTTTAAAAAAATAATGGAAAAGTAACGAAAAGTTACTTTTTCTTGTAACGGTAACTGTAACAAGTTACTTTTAAAAAGCGATAACTAAAGGGTAACTTGTTACATTTTTACTCGGTAACAAGTAACTGTAACTTGTTACTTTCAAAAAGTAACTTTCCATTCCCTTCATATGGTACATGCCATTAGAATTAAGTAAATAAAGATAATACCACTTGTATTTTACTTTTTGAAAATTACTATTTTTTTTAGGGAGGTTGAAATAGAAAGACTTTCAATAAGAATACAAAAAAGATATACATATATCGTCTTACTTATTGTTAGTAAAGATAGTACCACTTGTACTTTTTAATTTGATACAGTCCAATATTACTCTACGCGATTGTCATCCAGTCGGGAATCGTGACTCGATCTGTTCGATAACGGATCGAGACGCAATGATCCGATTTGTCTCGCCGCATCTCTGTGGCGCTAACGCGATTTTTCACTGTTTCTTACGACAATTCCCTGGTTACGGTAACATTTGGAAGCATCGTTCGGTTTTGCAAGAGCGAGCTCTGTGCGATAGTATGGTAAAATTCGTGATTGCATTCGTGTAGCCGCGGGATGTAACGTTCATATATCCCGCAGATCGAAACGCTAGTGTTTTTCAGGGTGGAACAAATTGAACGGGATTGCATGGGTCACACGAATTATTCTTATCGCGACTTCTGTAGAAATGTCTTCTCTCTGACTGCGTATACTGAAGCAGCAAATGCGATGCATATTATTTCGCTGCCTGTAGGGACACAAAAGAATAACAATCGAGCAAAATTAATAATAAATGAACAAATTCTCGACTGTGTAAAATAACGTAAAATACGGATTAGTCACTGATAAATACAGACACCGTTTATAAATCCCAAGTACTTGAAGTATAGTTAAAGGATGATACGCGTATCGATGTACTAAAAATCATTTGGAAATTGCTCTTAGATAAAAAAGGTTGATTTTGTATAAAAAGATAAGTTTGAAATAGCCTTAAAGATAATTTCTTATCGATATTTTGCAAAATATTTTTAATAAATGTAAGGCTATTTCAAATCTATATTTTATTAAAAAAGATCGATTCTTTTCTATCTAAAGGACAATTTTAATTGTAATTAGACTTCTCGAGCACGTCGCAATTTCCAAACAATTTTTAGCATATTTATACGCATACATAACACATCCAGATACATATTTAAAAATATTTTTAATTTGTAAGTTGTCAATAAGTTTGGTAAAAAAATCTCTTCTATCGAATTTGAATTAATATCAAATGAAGTAATTGCGCGGAGATACTTATCAATACTCGGATCTGTGAAGCTGACATGACTTCCTATTAATATAAAAAAAAAATAAGGACAGGATATGCGAAGATATAGCACGCTATATCTTTCAATTTGGTTTTCTTTTTATAAAAAATGCAGGACTGTTTTTATTTTGATACAGAACTGTAGAACTATGGAAAGTGTTACTAGGAACTGTCCTTGTTTTTTTGATATTAATAGAATATCGTGCCAGCTTCACCAGATCCACAATACTCAACAATTATTTTCAAGGTACTAATTAAGCGTTGAAGTTTCTTGAAAATCATTAGACGATGATCAATTTTAGAATTGCAGAAACCAAAATTTTCATCATAAAGAGAGAGCCTTAAAAAACAATATGAAAATTCTTAAATACTGCATTTTATGTAAAAAAAAAAATATTTCCTTATGATTAGAGACATTATAATTATAATACTCTACAGTCGTCTAAAAATGAAAATTGTTATACTGGTACGGAAAATATAATGATCTCGGATCTAGCTTTGAAATATGTTGATCTTTACCTACAATGATTTGATTCTTAGTATAAAATAATACATGATTGAGACGCGTGAGAGTGTTCATTAAAAATCGATCCTTTTATTTTTTTTGTTCTACATACAGCCATGAGGGGATGAATACTGGAGCAGGAGATGGAGGTGGAGGCAGTGTAGGAGGTGTTCAGAACAGCGGCGGTGGCAGGAACACTCCGCCTCATGGCTCGCCCACCCCCATGGACAAGGCGACTTTAAAAGTCCATCTTCCTAATGGTAAATTATTTCATCGTTAAAGAATTTGTTGCATTAGGCGAAGAAATAGAGGAACCAGTTGACGCAATGCGCTTACTTCTAACTAGAACAAATAAAATCGATATTAAAGTATCATTTTAAAGACCATGATGTGAACAATACAAACAATAAGAATAATGGCTGCCATAATTCCAATCTTGTAAACTGCGCGTCAAAATTATTTTCAGTCTCGAAACACAATCAGAACTAGAGTAGTAATATCACAAATTAAATTGACAAATACTAATTAAAAAATTAATATTTGCCTTTAATAATTAAAGATTGATTCTAATTATCTTAAACTATTAAATGATAAACAGGTCCAAAAATATGATTCAAGTCTTGTAACTCATATCCAGCAACTACAGTCATCTTCAATCCCAATCTTAAAAAGAAAGTAGTAAGAATAACCTGTAATAAGTCTTATGGCTTTATTAAGATTTGATTTATTAATCCTTAATTTTTTAAATATCTCTATATATAGTAGTATCTGCCTGTATTAGGATCAAGAGGTGCTGTTTTAATTAAGGAATATAATGGGTATACACACACAGTTCAAAATGACTAAATTTTCTCGACGAAAGGCCCGATAAAACTATGCGACCTTGAATTTCGTTAAAAAGTTAGCACCCCATTTTTAAAAAATTATTAAAAAATGATTATTAAGCGCATATGTCATTAAAAATCATAGAGAACTCTTCGTATCGTCAAAAAGAAGCAGGAATTATCATCAGAACTATTGTATTTAAAAATTAATTTTTCAAAAATTTTTAATTTTTTTTACATATCAGGAACTCTAAGCAATCGCAAATTGAAGCTATTAAGCCGCTCAGAACTATTCCACCTCGAAATTCGATAAAAAGTTAGCACCCCATTTTTAAAAAATGTAAAAAAAATGTTTATTGAGCGGAACTCTTGTTATTAACTATAGGGAACTCTTCGTCTCGTCAAAAGGAAGTGGGAAGTCTAATCAGAACTCCTGAGTACTATAGTTGGGGTGCTAACTTAACATACCCCTATTTCAGGCCTGTCCAATTTTAGTTCCGAAGCCAAAACGCAATATAAATGATATTATAAAATTAAAACACGTATATCTTAAGAAGAGAAAGGACACGTATAGATTTATTAATATTGTTTTTCGATACTGTGTGCAATTTAGGTGGCTTCAACGTCGTCAAATTCGGTGATGCGATCGACGTTAAAGGTATCATCTCTTTGGTAACTAGTCGATTAGCCGTTGGTACTAGACATTATCGAAATCTGTACGCGATGAGGCTGCATCATCCCGGATCCGGAGAGAGTTATTGGTTGCATCAGGATACAACGATGTATCAGGTATAAATCGATATGTGTGAATTACGTATTCGGCACACATATTCTGTTATATTCCGATGCATTCTGTTTCTCATAATTTTCTCAATGTATCTATTCAGGTACAAGAAAAGTATGAACGAAAGCATCCACATTGCGAATGGAGGTACGAGCTCAGAGTACGTTATCTTCCTCAGAACCTGAATGATCTCTACGAGAAAGATAAAGTCACGTTTTACTATTATTACGATCAGGTACGATGATATGTCAATGAGCAATTAAGCAAGATGTTTAATGTTTTAAAAATAAATGGCAAATTGCATTTATTTATGTACTTAGGTACGAAACGATTACCTGCTTGCTAACCACTCCACTCTAGATCAGGATGTCGCGGTTCAGCTCTGTTGTCTGGAGATTCGTTATTTTTTCAAGGACATGCCGCAAATTGCTCTGGACAAGAAGAGCAATCTGGAATACTTAGAGCGTGAGGTAATTTTTTGAAACAACAAATCTTACCTACGAATAACCAGATTTTACAGCAATACAGCTTGTACATTCGAATCTATTTATCCCTTTCACTGTACAAAATGTACGCAACCAGTAGTATCTATATATCCACGTATTTTATCCACAGGTCGGTCTACATAAATTTCTGCCGCGTTCCGTGCTGAATGGGATGAAACCGAAAGCGCTCCGAAAATTGATACAGCAACACTTTAAAAAAGTCGCTGCGTTGTCCGAACTCGAGTGCATGTTCAAATTCTTTGATCTGCTGCGGGCGCACTATCGATTCGATCAGGAAAGATTTATATGCGCATTAGGAGTAAGTATCAACATCTAGCGTATGTTCTCTGATACAAATGAAAAAGTTATTGAACGATAAAAATATAAAGATTATATGCAGTTTGTAGAATTTATTCATTTTATGTATTAATCATACTCAACATCGTTCGTACAACTTCTACTATTTACAGTCAAGCTGGTCAATACCTGTAGAACTAGTCATTGGACCAGACTTGGGTATATCTTACATGGCTCATCGAGGCGGAACAGTGGTATGTTTTTATATTACATACGTATATTTTGTGTAATATATTCTATATAGTTTAAAAAAGTAATTCTATGACGAGTTTTTCGAAGTAAAATTTCGATTACAGCCAACTAGGATGGCAGAATTTTCACAAATACAATCCATCCAAACGTTGGTATCGGATTGCAAAGAACACGCGAAGGCATGCATTAAATTGAGAGTCGCAGGTGCGGCGGAGACTCTCAGTATTACTTGTTCCAGTCTGGATCAAGCGGAAAGCCTCGCGGATTTGATTGATGGCTATTGTAGATTGGTCACAGGCAGCAATACTTCATTGTGGAATAGAAAAGGTAAGAAAAAGAAATATCATTGTTGTAAAGAAAAAATCTAGTAGATTTTATCTTGAAATTTTTCGATGCTATTAAAAAAAGATCCGTAAATAGTATCTCTGAACTATCTTATAAATACTTGTTCTATTAATGTTAATAAAATATATTAAGTTTCTTTTTATTCTATATTTACAAGCTGGATCATGGAAGAATTATCCTTGTCCATGCAAAGGTAAAACGAACCAGAAAGACATCGTTTTATATAGATCTTAATATTTTGTAAAAAAACGATACTGTTTTATTTACACGCGTACAAAATACAATGTTAATTATAGATGCACAGCCGCCAAAATATAGGCAGGATGGTGCTAGCAGTCCAGCGGAGAAGAACGCGAGTAAAACTGGAACAATTTTGTCCGAAGATTATGCGGAGATTGTCGATGAAGAAGGAGATTATTCGACGCCAGCTAGTAAATACATATATTTTCAATAGTTGTTTTATTATGAATATAAAATCGAGAATGACTAGTAATGTAATTAAAATATTTTTTTATTGATGTATTTTTCTTTACATTTTGAAATACGTGAGAAATGTTTAAATGATTAATTTTCTTTGCAGCTCGAGATTATGAAATAGTCCGAAACCAAGTAGAATTAGGCGAAATCATAGGGGAAGGACAATTTGGTAACGTTCATAAGGGATCCTATAAAGGAAGAGATGATCAAACTATCGCCGTTGCCGTCAAGACTTGTAAGGTTGACGCGGATCTTGCCACTGCTGAGAAATTCCTCGAAGAAGCTTGTACGGAAATTCAATGCAATAAATTATATGTTCGTTATAACAATAAAATAAAATATATAAACATGTGTTTTCGAAATAATAAATTCAAATTTTAGATATTATGCAGCAGTTTGAACATCCGCATATCATCAGATTGATCGGAGTTTGTTCAGAGGCGCCGATTTGGCTTGTAATGGAATTAGCCAGACTCGGAGAAATGCGTGCTTATCTCCAGTCTAATAAACATCGTCTGGATCTTGCCACACTTCTATTGTATACCTTCCAATTGAGCACTGCCCTTTCATATCTTGAAAGCAAGAAATTCGTCCACAGGTACCTACCGACAAAGTCTGTTTATTCGAATATTATTTATTATATTCTCATAATTAATCTTTTCATTGCAGAGATATCGCTGCAAGAAACGTGTTAGTTTCGTCGCATAATTGTGTTAAGTTGGCGGATTTTGGCCTTAGTAGATGGGTAGAAGATCAGAGTTATTATACTGCGAGTAAATGTAAGCTACCAATTAAATGGATGGCGCCGGAAAGTATAAATTTCCGAAGATTTACAACATCATCCGATGTTTGGATGTTCGGTTTGTTTTCTTGTCTAAAGCTAATCATGTTTTATAAAAATTACTCTCTCTTAAAAGATACATTAATGAAACTTGATTATTATTCCAGGTGTATGTATGTGGGAAATTTTGATGCTAGGCGTAAAACCATTCCAGGGCGTGAAGAATAACGAAGTGATACGTAAATTAGAGAACGGAGAAAGACTCGCACTTCCCAATCATTGCCCGCCGCGATTATACTCTTTAATGTCTCAGTGTTGGAGCTACGAACCTAGTAAGAGACCGACGTTTAAAGAAATTAGAGAAACTTTACAGTGAGTATTTAGAGTGTCAAATTGTAAATATTTTTTAAGTTATATTACATGCTCTTTTAAATCGTTATAGTGAGATTTTGCTAGAAGAGAAGCATCAGCAACAAGAAACAATGAGACGAGAAAATAGAAGAGTACAAGCCATGTCTTGGGGTATGTAGAAAGTTATCTGTAATAAAATTATATGGCTCTATTTTTTAATGAAACGTGCACATGTTATCCAATATCGTCTATACTTATAAAATAATCCGTTTTATAGGTGCAGACGATGTGCCGCCACCGAAACCTTCCCGACAACCGCAAAGTACGGAGCAATCGCAATTAGCGGCACCATCCACATACATCGTGGCGCAAAGTCCCGAGGTTCTCACGCAACTTCTCAAGGACAATCAAGCCAGAGGGGTATGTCCCTCCGTGTACACGACACCCGCATCTCCCTTCAACACCCTGGCGGTCCAATTTCAGGATGAGGATCAAGTTCTGACAACCGCCGTTGTATCCGATTTACCCTTCTTCGATCCCGCACTTTCCGAACCGCCATCCATCACTACTCAGTCGGGTGATTCCACCTTGTCTGACACCAACTTAGACTCCCTTGATTCCTCGGACAACACTCCCCTCATGTCGAGCCTGAGCATTTCAGACACGGCAGTGCAGATGCAGTCACCCGCCGCCAACCGAAAGCAGCAGAAGGTTAAAGAGATGCAAAACTTGTATGCGGTTAGCTCGAAGGTGGTTGGTAGCATCACGGGGGATCTGTATTCCCCCGTGCAGAAATTCTCCGTGTCCAACACCGTTCCGTCGCCACCTGCGACCGCGTCGGTCGTGTCAGCCGCGGTCGCGGGCAACACCTGTGGCGAGATATATGGACCGGTCACTAGTTTCACCCAGAGCTCAGCTATCGTTGGTAATCTTAGTCAAAGCGCTGGTTTAGGTGGTAATTACGATCAGGATTTCGGGAACCTCGAGCCTAGTAGCTTGGGCAGCAGTATTATAATACCAAGTAGCAGCAGCCAGGCGCAATTTGTTGTGAGTGGTTCACATGCTCTCAGTCAGTCGGTTAATTACGGTAACTTTACAACTAGTAATAATATGAGCCAAGTATTTGGTGGCGGTCAACCTACGAATCAGAATATTAGCGGTGTGCAGAGTGTTGGCGATAGTAGTAGTAGTAGTAGTGGTGGTGGTGGTGGTGGTGGTAGTAGCGTTGTTTACTCTCGTAATATTAGCTTGGCGAATGTAGGTAGTTCCGCATCAAATTCGGAATGTTTGTATGGTCCGGTACTCAAGTTCCGCGCACAAAACGCCCAACCACAGTTGGCCGTAGCTGCAACCGTTACCGCGACCGAATTAAAATCCGTCGGCGCAGTAGTTGGACATTATGGTCAAGCCGGAAGAAGTAATCTAGTAGTGCAGAATCTACAGTCGCAGCCAATATATTCGCAGAATTATCCGCATCAGCAGATTTATTCGAATATTGCTCAGACGGGACAACAGTCCATGTATCTGATGCAAATGCAGCACATGCAGAATGTCCCGCGGCAGAATGTCGTTTCTCAGGCAGTGTCTTACCCGATACAGCACACAAATCAACAGTCTCAGTTAAGCGGTACCAGTCCTATTTACACGGCTCATGCTACGTCTGTGTCGGTGGTTCAAGCTCAGAAGGTACACATGCCAAATTATGCTCACCACGCCCAGTCCGAAATTAGTTGTCAGCCAGTGACTCAAATAACCGGCACGAATCAATCGGCAAACATTGGAGTAATGCAAGCTTCCTCTATTCCATCACACTCTGTTATGTCATCCTCGGCGACTCAGCAAAATATCCATTCAGTTCCATCCGCGTACATGGTAGATCAACAGCAACCAAGTTTTCTTGGTCCAGTTGATTATACTCAAGTTAACATCGGCAATGTAATGACAAGCCTGACCGGTGCGCATCAGCAACAAATAACACAATCTCAGATGGCTAGCGGAATCGCGAAGGCGGCAAATATATCGCAAGTCGTGACGGGCGTCGCCAAAATCACCACGTTCGTGACACCACAAAAGCAGGATGAACAGTTGACAAGCTCGACCGACGGCACTCTCTCTGGCTCTTTGATCTCTTCCGCTGTCAGCGACAGCACCGTGTCGTCTAGCAGCTCGATGACAGAGGAGGCACAACAAGATCAGGTTTGACCATGCCTCCTAGGAATGTGACAAATGCTTCTTCTGTATTTTACCACGTCACAGTCTTGTTTTAGTTTTTTATCTGGTTCGCAACACTATTGTATCACACTACACTTCAAATATGTATTATATATACACATATATATATGTATATAATTTATATATATATGTATATATGTATATGTACACACAAGTTAAATGTATATTATTACGTGCTTCTTTGGTGTATGCAAGATACGTATGCACTGGCTCGCAAATGAATCTTCTACTTTGTTGCAATGCAATCGGAGAAACTTATTTTTCAGCAGAAATCTTGACTTGTCGTTCAGTAGGCTAATAATTTTTGCATGAGAATGAATGTTACTGATGAATTATTACAGTAATCATTTAAATTGCATGTATATAGCGAGTACGCGAATACACTATCTCTGTTTTAAATTTATTTTATATCTATCGAAAAATATGCGTCTCTTTAATTTTTCCTGTACATACGTGTATATTATTAAGAAAGGATTGCAATATATATATTTAATTACGAAATCATCCCATTTTTGGGATAAACTTCCGAAAATTCTAAAGGCTCTGATTTTGCTATCGATTGGTGCATTACTATATTTCGGTGCATAATTACAAATCTAATCATGAAAATTACCGATAAGGTCATTTCAAGGTCTAATACAAAAAAATAAGGTATAATTTCTCTTTAGAGAAGTCAACTGTTGATGATCTTGATCTTAACATATATCGTCAAAATTTTTTTGATCATATTCGTAATCAGTGCACCAAAATACAGTTGCATATTGATCAACAAGAAAATCGGAGCCTTCAGGTTTTCGGAAGTCCACCCTATTTTTGTACATTAGAAAAGAACTTATAAATGTCAGATTAAAAAGTCACATTTTTAATGTAATATTATTTTTACTATGTTTTAGAGAAATGTGCATTCGCAACTATTCGATAACCTACCTGACAATTTCAATAGCGGCATTGATGACGAACAAAAGCTGTTGGAGCAACGGTTGTTGGAACAACAACGACAGTCTGAAGAAGATAGCCGCTGGCTTGCAAGAGAAGAAGTATGTTTAAAAAAAATTACGTTTCAAGTCTAATAAACCGAATTAGCACACATTTTATAAAAACTGAAAATATACTTGCAAAATGAATAGTATTAGGTACGAAGATCCACTTTGGCCAAAAATGGATGTCAATTTAATTCCTACTTATAATTGTTATTTAAAGATCGTTGTTGATTGAAATGTTCTAATCTTCATTTTTTCTTGACAGAAACGTTTATCGATTGCCACGAGTGGTGATGAAAGTGCTAGTCCCACAATTCCACGATCAGTTACTCAATCACCGAGCCACGAACCACATTCTGCCTATACTGGTTCTCTCGGCTCGGACAAGAATTCCGATAAAGTCATTGTAGTAAAGGTGAGAATTATACATAATGATTTTATTAGTGCAAATTATCCAACGTATGCATAAATTATTTTTTTTAGAAGATGGAACCCACACCTACAGCAGATTTAGACAGAACTAACGATAAAGTTTACGACTGTACGACAAGCGTCGTCCGTGCAGTTATGTCATTATCGCAGGGTAAGAACGTAAATCGAAAAAAAATATATATTGGCTAGATATACGTATAGTAACTAAATAATATTGTCGAAAGATGTTTATACATTGTAATATATAAAAAAATGTGAATTGCAGGTGTTCAACAGAGTAAGGCTGATCAGTATTTAGAATTAGTACGTAGAGTAGGTATTGAATTAAGAGCATTATTGTCCTCTGTGGACGTTCTGGTAGAAATTTTGCCCATACCCGCGCACCGTGAAGTAGAAATGGCGCATAAGGTATTAAGTAAAGATATGGCAGAATTGGTGTCTGCTATGAAACTGGCGCAAAGTTACAGTGCCACTACATTGGATGCTGAATATCGGAAGTAATTATTTTGGGATTATCTCAACAAATTGCTATAAAACCTTGAGAATAATTGATAAACATTTTACTATTCTCCTTTTAGAGGAATGCTTTCTGCAGCTCATATCTTAGCCATGGATGCAAAGAATCTTTTAGACGTAATCGATTCCATCCGTATTCGTTATCCATATGTAGATAGTCAGATTTGCCAAAAGCAGAGCAATGTTGTTAATAGAACACGGGAATTTACACCCGAGAACCGCATTCGTTCGAGTCAGTCAGGCGAACAATTTCTAAGGAGAAGTCAATCGATCGAACGACAAGGAACAACCTTCAAACAAAGCCAAAGTGGTGATTTATTACACAGAATGGGTCAATCTGTAGACCGATCTTTGCCGGTAAGTTAAATAATTCGTTAAGATTATTATTAATTTTTTATTAAGATTAGTAACGAATGAGACGAAATAAAGCTAAATTGAAAAATATCTGCTTACTCAGGGAAGTCAATCCGACTTTAATTCCGGTAACAGTTTAGAAAGAAGGCACAATACAGTTACTAATAGTCTTGAACGTAACTCAACAACGAGAAGACAAATGGCCACTAACAGTTTAGAAAGAAAAAGACCATCGTTAACATATAATGCAGGACCTATAAATAATGCTGTTAATTGTTTGCCTATGGTGCCAGTCACTTACAATTTGGTTCAGGCTGCGAGTCCCGTCCATCCAAGTCAATCGACTACAACGGGCGCTAATCAACAGACGGTGTTTACAACCAACAGTAAAGTTACAAGTGAGACTTCAATAAATGACAGCTAACAACGAGGTTTTTTGAATTAAGGTAAATGATAGTAAAATGTGTTTCTTTATATAAACGAGACGATTATTTTAGACGATGATTAATTTTAAATAATTGATTCCAGGACTTCGAATCATTGCTTACAATTAGTATGTATATAAATAGACGATATACTACCAAGTTACCCGTGTGTACACATCTACACTTTAATACTTTAATAACGGGAGATCTAGAGTATGTTCCACTTAACGTTTGCAACACTCTCGTGCATCATTTCATCCTTGTTTAACATTTGATGATAACAAAGATGAAATAATGCTTGCGAGCGTTATGAATACCAAGTGAAATGCACTCCTGGTATTTGTGCTTTTTAGCTCTTTTTAACATTTAAATATACAGACATTTTATCTAAGCGTACTTAGATAGGATAGTATTCGTTAATTATAAGAATAGGAAGTTTATCACTAGAGAATTTTAGTCACAGCTATAATAAAATCATAACTCCAAAGGATTTAAGATTATCGAGATATAATTACTATTTGTTATATAATGACAACATGTACGAGATGACGTAGTTATATTGTTCCATAAAGATAAGAGTATACGCCATTAATTTTATTAAATCTCTGAAATTTATTCGCGCTATTCGTATTTATTCTAACATTGCACATAATATCGCACATTTCAAAATTTCTTGATTTTACCTGCGTCATCTGGTACGTATAATCAGTTGATAATATATGCATACGTACAAACATATTTCAAAAATATGTATGTATGTATTATATATTTATATTTATAAATACAAACAATATTTTCTCTTTTCGAGTAATACTGCGCGAGAATATAATTTTCTGTAGAAATATGATCGATGTTTCTAACGCAAGTTCGTAATTTTGTAGTCTATTCCTATCTAGGAATATTATGGACAGTAATTATTATGTAAAAAGAACTGTGAATGTGTTATTTTTATTTCATGATTATTTCAACGGTTATACTAGTTTGCGATATTTATATATGAAATATTTTATTAAAAGCAAAAATCATTTTTCAACGAGTTTAGTTCCTACAATGTATTTTTAGCAAGTTCCAGTTTTACATAAATATATCATTAATAGCTCAATGCATTTTTGCAGCGATGTATTCATACGTACGATGCATTTACCAAATCCGTGATCAAGTTTTTGTACAGTTTGTAGCAGGGTTGCCAGATTTTTGCCGGGTGTCGTCGTCGAAAAAATCATTTATTTGGCCGTAATGTGTTAACTTATGTTATAACTTCTGTAAGATTTGATCAATTATAATCGATTAAAGGAGAAATAATCGAATATCATTAATCAATTTTTTATAATTACGGCATAATAAATTACGGCCAGTATAAATGATCCTTAAGTCTTTGTCGCCTAAAAATCGCTTAACTGAAATATGCTTTCTAAAAAAAAAAAAAGGAAAAGACAATCACATTTTCGGTGTAATATGCACCTTTATTTTGCACGAATATTACACATTGCACACTGTCTCTCATCCAGGATTACCAGATTTTAGGCGACTTTTGCACTGCACCACGCTGTACTGGCTACACCTGTATCGCCAATGTAACACTAAAGTAATCCAAAGGATTTAAAGTATTCCGAAACTATTTATACTAAGCTGTATTACAATATATTAGTCTGTTATGCATATGAAATTTGAGTATTTCAAACTTATAATAAAAGTTACCATTAGCTGTTGATTAACTATAGGATAGAAAGATTTGGAGGACTCTCTCTGTCCTGCATATATTTGTCGTACAACAAAAACGCACAAATAGTACTTTTAAGTAACGACAGTCAATGAGAACCTGCTTTTTTTCCAGGATCGTCTTCGCTATTGACTATCGTTAGTTATCATCACCGTATGGCGCTCGTTTACGATTACGTTGCGATTGACCACTAGACATTCATAGCGCTTGCAATGGAAAGCCCATTCTATAATTGGCAGTAACAGTAGTGGATTATGAAGTAGGCGTAGAAATAGAAATGATTATTAATTAATTATCCTTCTCACATTCGACTATGATTTGTTAATTTCTACGCCTACTCCTTAATCCACTACTGATACTGCCCATTGTAGAATGGGCTTAGGTACCGGCCGCTTTGAGTCGTTGTGTTCAATCGCAACGTGGTCAAACAGGTTGCTCCTTTTACCACTGAATGGGAGAGAAATATTCGACTGTGATTGGTCAATTCTTATAAATTATATGGTATACATACAGTTACGGTCAATATAAACGTTCACTTAATCTGGCAATCCTAATTAGAACGCAGCCTCGCAGCGGTATCATTTATTGGCTGTGTTCAGCAGATGAACGCCCCCATTGACCATATTGCGATTGATCACAGCCATTAACAACGGCCTAAGAGTTCCCACTGTTCAAGCGCTGTGAATAACTGTTGGTCAATCACACGTAGTCAATCGGAGCGTTCAATAGACAATAGTTAAGTGAGCGTCTACTGCTTACTATTGACGTATTCTTCTAGATCTAAAAGTCTGATTGAACGATAAAGAGGATCTCTGCGTTGCTTTCGCGGCGTCGCCTAAGTACGGACCTACAATAGATTTTTAAGCCCTAAGAAATAGACGAATCATAGTTCAATTATTCTCCTCGCATTTGACTATAACTGGTCAATTTCTTATAGCTTAAGGTTTGAAACATTTATTGTAGACGCGGACTAAAAGTCGCCAGAAAAAAAGAAGCTAGCCTAATTTGCAACACGTCGCTCTCGGCTATAAATGTTTTGTCATAAATTCTTATTACGAGTCGTCTAAAAGGCGATATGTTGCCTAATCTGGCAACCCTGCTTTGTAAATAAAAAAAAGTATTCCATTTTTACGCATGTGCTTTTTGTATTCCTGAGGAAATTTACATCTGAGAAATATTTGTGAGAAATGTACTTCAATTCTGATACATTGTAATCGTTGTAATGATATTTCTCATTCATATAGCGTATTCGGCTCGAACAGGTTTGCACCAACCTAGGTTGGATCAATGATGCGTGCGTTGCATACTCTCCTAATGATAGAACATGTAACGTCGACTAATAGTAGAACATTAGAAAGTTTTTGCAATACCGTGTATTCAGGGTAGCGATCATGTCACTTTTTCTTTAGAGTGGAAACTTGTGGACTTTTGGAACTTAAAGTGAGATAGGTATATGTTTGATATTTGTCGAAAGCGAAAGTTCTAATGCAGTCTAGTATAGGAACATAAAAGAAACCACTGGATTCACGACGTCTGTTTTTTATTCCTAGATTGCATTAGAACTCTTTTTCTTCTTTTTGCTAAATATTAAATATATACCTATCTCACTTTAGATTCCAAAAGTATACAATAGTTCAGCCACAAAAAGTAGACACGTATTGCAAAAAAACTTTCTATTATTATCCAACCCAAATTGCTACAAACCCGCTCATATCTAAAACGCTAATATACATATTGTTACAATTAGTATGAACGTGAAATATTTGTAGTTTGCAAGTTGTAAATTTGATATTTTAAATGGTATGTGCTTTAAAGATTTATGTGCCAAGACGTGCTTATACGCTCGAAAGAAACGAATACTGGCCGCGTTTATACCGTACGATCTGCTTTATATTGTGACCTAGGACTGGTTTCATCAACGTCAATTACTTAATCGGCCATGGAACTGACTAATTGCATTTGCTGTTTAACAGAATTGACCAATTGGTAATTGACAGTTAATCATTGATTAGGGTTAATCGAGTTGGGGCGTTTTTTCGATATGCAACCAAAAGTAACCACGACTAACGCCTGTTTCCACCAATGCAGATTAACTTTAATCTCGGTTTAACTTACTGTTAATCTTTTTCTAATTTTTAGAATTAGAAAAAGACGAAGAGCAAATTGAACCGAGATTAAAGTTAATCTGCATTGGTGGAAATGGGCATAAGATTATCTTCGTCATCTGATCTCTGAAGACGAAAATAATCTTAGCCGCGGTTGCTTCTGGTTGGATAACGAAAAAAAAACGCCATTGGTGAAACTGGTCCCTGAAGTAGACCTTTAACTAAACGTTTACACCATGTATATTTATGATATTTTTGAACCTAATATAAGCCGCGTTTAGTCCTATGATTCCTGTGAATACCAATTGCAGATTATGTTTAATTGTAATAATATCATTACAAGTTACGCTTATAACAACTTGTTTTTTTAACATTACGCGTTTTCATGTTCTACCAGTATATACTCTATACTCTACAAGCTTAGGCTGATTTTAAGTATACCCTGCATTCATACGCGCGTTACATTCGTATGTACTTGATCGAACAAGTACACCGGCTGGTACAGGAATAATTAGTTTAAAATGTTTGTATTTCGTATAAAGAGTTTTAAAGTGCAATGGAAAAGATTTTAGTCATTCAATTGTAATTAATTAATTGTTTTTACATCATAGGTCTATTTTAATTCTGTGACTCACACAAACTTTTGGAACTTAAGGTGAGAAAGGTTTGATACCTGTCGAAAGCGAGAAATTTCTAGTGTGCAAAAACAGAAAACAGACCACGCATGTATTTAAGCCGAAATAATTAACCGCAGGTAAATTATACAATGTTCTTATATACGGAATAGTTATTTGTATGAAAAGTTATGAAGTATCATTAAGAAGATTCGTGAGATTATATACATCCGCATAATTATAATTAAATATTTAAAAATTATGTAATTTATCGAAATATAGATTGAAAGGGCTACAGAGCTCCGGAAATTCTATCAGACGCTATTATCAGCCTTTTTAGGCTGCGTTCCATTTAACGCTCGCAAAACGAGCATCGTTTGTTCTTGTTTAACATTTGATAAACAACAAGGATGAAATGATTTCACGAGCGTGTGAGCATTAAATGGAACGCAGTCATAGTATTCTTCTAGAGTGCGTTCTATTTAAAAGTCAACAAAATGGAATCCTTTAGAGGAACTCTAGAACGAGAAAGATAATATAAAAATCTCTAGTCGGAGATAAATTTTTTTTATGTTGAAAAGCTAAAATACTGCACAAATAGCGTTTTAATTCGTAATTAGAAAAATCACTTGAATACTCGTATATACAGAGTGATTTTTTTTAAAAGGCGAAATAAAAATTTGTTCTAATATTCTAATATTGTTCTCATATTATTATATAATGTAGTGAGGTGCACATCATTTTTATAATTGGGCGCGTTCAGCGGACTCAACAGTTGAGTGAGCGCTCACTACTACTGGTGCATTCTTCTAGATTAAAAATTCTGATTGGATGATCTAAAAGAATACACCAATAATAGCGAGCGCTCACTCAACTGTTGAGTCCGCTGAACGCGACCAATGAATACCGGCCTAAGAAGAAGAGTGGAAAAGAGCTACCGTTGCGTGTGACAGATTTTTTCTAACCTAAATTTTTTCTAACCTAACTTTAACAATTGATATCTTGGTTCGCCGGACAGAGCGACGCTTTTTTCTGTTAGATTTTTTCGTCTTACGCATCCAATAAGCTTAATTTATTGTCTTTCGCGTGTAAACGCGATACTTCATAATTATCTAAACTTGGTATGGAGTCTACCGATCTGTTAATGGAATCAGCCGACAAACGGTAATTATTGTTAAATAAATTTTCTGTATATATTTTTTCAATATCAATTCTACAATGTTTTCTTTTCTTATCAAGGGACGTTCGCGTTAAAGAGAATGTTTGTGAGATTTTGGAATTGGCTGGGATTAAAGAGTCTGATTTAAATACGGTAACGCAATGTTTATATTCCACGCAAGATCATCAAGTCAATGACATGATATTGCTAGAAGTAGACGAGGATATATTAAAGGGACTAAATCAAGAAGATGCGTATGTTTTATTGAAATTTTTATTTGTGATTTTTGTTTTATAAAGTAGATCCTTGAGTTTCTTTTTGAATATTGATATTATAATTCTTATTCTGTAAAGTAAAATAATTATAAATATGATTTTGTGACTGTAGACTATCATTTCGTGGTAACAAACATGATAACGCTATGCTGTGTACACAAACTCGTAGCTACGAGGTAAGGGAGGCAGAGATATCCAATTCATGGTTGTTGGTACCAAATCTAAAGCTGGGTAAGGCAACAGGTATTGGAGAAGTTGCAGAAAGAACTATAGAAAAACATAATGTAAAGAGGATATTTAACTTGTACTACGAGGTGCTTCTTGTAGTATTCTACAATATTTGAATGGTGTCTAAAATGAATGTTGAGTTATAGAAAAAAATGTAATATAATTTTTCCTGTTCAAGGTGAAAGAAACCAAACCTGATCTGGTACGTTTATCGAGTTTGCTTAACTCTTCTTCCTTCAATGGATTGGAATATGAATCTACTGTAGATAAAAATACATTATACAGTTGGGAAAGATTACAAAATGTGTTACAAGCCAGTGATCAAGAATTAAAACAGGCTCTATCAGATTTCTTAATAGCTGAAATAGATGGTTTGTAATAAAAATCTCTTTTTATTATTAGACTGTCATCACAAATGAGATTGTCTAAAGATTTTTTATATTAAGGTTATTTACGTCTCATATCATTTGACGTAGAAGCAAGAAGTTTTAATCTCATGTTGGATTATTTTGGAGAACAATCTTGGGAACTTGATGAAGTAGATAAAGAGAATACTTATGAATGTTTAAACGAACTTATTTATAAGCCAGTATTTGATGTTATATTCAAAAGATATACAGAAGTAAGCACAAAGACAAAGGATAATGGAGATCCATTGTATAAGTATGTACATCAATATATTTTATTGCGATTAATGGAAAAATTTTATGAGTAAAGTCTTTTAAATATAATATCTTGAGAAGGTTTGACGAACAAAAATGCTGTGCAGTGATAGCGAAAATTCTTCTTGCTGCTTCTCCTGTTACCGAATATAAAGAATTCATGGAAACGTGGAACATTGGAACTCCTGAAAGTATGTAAAAGCTAGGAAATTATAATAATATAGAGTTTTTGAACCTATAATTTTTTGATATTTCAGAAATGCAGCCAAAACAAGAATATTTACGTGGTTTAGCTCTTATAATGTACAATACTGCAAAAGTACAAAAGGAAGTCATATCTTGTCCAGAGGCAGATTTATCCAATAACATTCATGATAGGCTTAATGAACTTTTCGAAATTAAAGCTAAATGGACTGTTGAAGAGATAACACCTTATATTATGTAAGTAAAAATAAAGTACCCCAAGGTATTGTAATATCAATTTAAATCTTATGTAACTGTTTCTTTTAGTCGTTTTACAAAAGGTGTAATTAATGTTAATGCACTTTTAACGAAGTATGCCAGATGTTCAACAAAAAATGGGATAAAATATTATGGATCGAAACATGGCAAGTGATAAGTATATTTGTAGTATGCATTCAATTGTTTTACAATAAATATTGATACATATGTTATTGATTTATTATATTAGCGCCACAAATTTTTCGAAGCATTTGATTAACCAGTCGAAAAAAGACCCTTACAAACTGATAAATCAAAAAATACTTTGAAACATTTGTAGCATCAAGTGGACTGTAGCTTTAATCAGTATTCAGATTTTAACTAATCACATTAAATTGCCAAATAAGTTTAAAATATAAAGTAACTGTTTAATTAGTTACTATAGTTATTGGAAGAAATGTAACTAATTGTAAGTTACAGTTACAGATGGAAAAATTAACTGTAACTTATTTACAAGTAACTAGTTACTTCCCCACCCTGATAATAATTAAAGAATTGCATAAATTTCAATGTTTTAAAATTTACTGGTTAAAATAAATATTTTTTAATTTAAGTAAAACAGAATAATTTCTTTTAGTAAGAAATCATTGATGTAAGCTAATGATCCGATAAATTAGAAAATATCCTTTATGTTACTCGATGATGTGAAATCAATTATGCAAAATTTATAGCACGACTATAAAACAAAGTGACAATAATTTCACAGGATGCAATAAAAATTATTTTTAATTACTAAAAATTTTTATTTATTAACAATATTTTTTTATTTTGAACTTGTTATTACCGATTATTAAAAAAAAACAGGATATAAATTTTATAACAAACATTACTTCTACATACATTGGTTATGCTAGATCCATTTCCTTTTTTGTTTTCGGATTCGATCGTATAATCAGTGACCTCGAAAACCACTAGGTATAAAATTTCATATAAAACACTTTCATATTTTAGCCAACTTTTTGCAGTTTTGAGACCACTGAGTGATGTTTCAACTAAAACAGAACAAGTTAGAACATTTTATTACAAATTAATAAGATTATTAAATGAGAATTACCCTTATTGAGGAGTTTACTTAATTACTGAGTAAATATATTATCGAATTTAACAAATATCCAACAGTTTTATTTGACAATTAGCACGTATTAGAATTAAAAAATTATATGTAGATAAATTTGTTTTAAACATAAAAAGGACTTAAACGTTTATTTATGTACTGATAAAATTATTTTACTTAAAGTTTTTTACTCTCTTTAGCTTCAAATTTCTAAGGCTAAATATCCATTATTTATCATTCTTAACATTAATGATTGTTAAACATTCATATCTTGTTTTAAATTTTCGACGTAATGTATGTTAGTGTAGGAAAAAATACTTACTTTTAATTAATCAAAATAAGCTCCGCAATTCGAACAACGTTTTGTCCTTAATAGTAGACAACAGATAATTCCGATAGGAAAGAAAAATATTGCACAAAACAAGCCAAGACATGTATAATCATCTTCCATTATTCCTATCTGTTTTGGGTTTAAATGTTATTAACTTTCAATTTAAGCATAACGAAAAGAGCGATAATATTTGAATAGAAAATTTGCGTACTCTACATGCTGGACAACCGCCAACTATAATAATTTCTGGAACAATGATTGCGGCGGAATGTGTAGAGCCATATGATGGGACATGGGTTCCTTGATAGCCAGGTTGATAGCCAGAATCGGTGTTGTTAGGATAGTATCCGGGAGGTGGTTGCCATGATGGATTAGCTAGTGATAATGATTTACTATAAATTTGTAGTATGGGATAATATTAACAAGTCTACAATAGAAATCGTAGCGGTTGTAGTGTCTTAATTCGTAGAAAAATGATTATAGTTGATTTTAGTTATTTACTATATTAACACTTTCTATATTTTAAATATATGTATATTAAATAACTTTTTAATTTAAAACATCTTATTGTGTTCGTTTATTATTTGTTATTATGATACATTGTTTCGCTGTACAAACATTCGAACATTATACGATATTTTTTTGTTATAATTAATTATTCCTCTTATATTTAACTGTGATTGGTTAATTTTCTACGACTTACGATCTTATAATCGCTACAATTTCTATTATAGTTCTCGCGTAACATTTATAAGTGAATCGTTCGTAAATGCCATTTTTTTTGGCTATCCACTTTTTCTTCTTTTTTCTTCTCATGCGCTTTTCCTATTTGAAAAAGTGCATATTGACATCGATAATCGAAAATCTATTGAATCTCAAATCTGTTGAAGTTTATTGCCTTTTTTATAATTGCTTCTCTCGCTATTCTTACTTCGTAGCTGTCGTGGAGATGACTTGTTTAAGAGATATGAGTGTAAGAAAGGATTAATAAAATGTACAAGGATTAACAATTTAATGGTAAAACTGTAAAATTAATTATTATAAACAAATTCATTGATTGTGTTGTTCTATTGTTAAGTCGATGACGACTTCGTTTTTTTCTCTTTAAACATTAAGATTGTAATCTTAGCTGTCTAGCCCTGTTTTGCTATGCAATAAAATTAGTACCTAAGGTCAACTTTGAACTAATAATTAATGAATTACAATTAAAAACTAGTTTATTATAATATTAAAATTTGAACTTAATTTATAATAGTTTTCACAATATAAGGATGGTTTAATTTAGTCTTCCCTTAGTCTTAATCTGCAATATATAATAATATAATATTTGTAAAGTAAAAATTACATATCATAGTAATAAACTAAATTGGAATTGAGTTGAAAAAGATCATCACAAAACCACCGTGATGATTGGACATGTATGGAATTCGTTAAGATTGTTTCAAAAATAAGTTTAATTTTTATATAATATTTTATTATAAAGAATTGTTACTTTGTGTTGTATTTTATTTCCAGTTTTCCATCAATGTCGTTATAGTTTTGCTACCGATATTAGATAAGAAAAATATTATAGCATATTGGATAACAAAAAGGAATAATGAAATGAAACAAGAAAAAGAGGTAAGAGTTTCAAAACGAAAAGAATTAAAATGGAAAACGGATAATTGTAAGTAGGATGGATACATCGACTCTAACTCACTATACCAGGTGTTTTAGGCCATCCACTGTAGATATACCTCATTTAAAAACGAAGGAAGTGGTTATTTAAAAAAATGTTTTAAACAAAAATTGTTGGAGATCAAGTAATTCATTACATAGGTATATGCGATTGATCCTGGATGACGTTGTGAAGGTCATGTCAAGGTTGACTTGAATTTCTTAAAGCAGTGTTTTTAAAGCGATGAATTTGTTTAAATTTTCTATCCTGAATAGGTGTTAACTAACGATTAATATCTCGAGTCGCGAGGTAGAGCGACGTTTTTCTCTGCCAGATTCTTTTGTTTCATGCAAAAACGTATCGATTAAATATATTTTTATTAAAATTTGAGACCGGGGTCTTCTTAACATTTTCCAATGATTTTGAGATTTGGGTCGCTGATAATATGATTCAAATCAAACCGAAATGTCCGAATATTCTCGAATAAATTATATTAATTCTGGAACAAATTATATTAATTAATTTTTTTCTGGTACGAATTACGCACAGAAATTTGTATCCTCACTTTCCTTTATTTCATTATTGTTCGAGTTATTTCAGTTTCGGGAATGAGAAAATTGGTGCCAACAAAATGCAATCGACAATTATTTATGCGTAGTTGTGGAAGGAAGACATTTCTAGACGATAAGGTCTAACCTAGAAATCACGACACACCTGTTGGAGCTGTTGCGACAGCATATGACGGTGGAGAATTTTCGGGCACTTTCAATGGTTGTGTCTCCATAATCAATTTGCTGTTTCTATTTGTTTTAATAAATGTTCAATGCGTTATGAGAATGCAGTCATTTTCATAATCTGCAATAATCTGTGAATGTAAAGGATATGTTTTTTAACATGTATGGTCTATTTTCTGTTCCTGCACTATACTGCACTATAACTCTTTTTCTTGCTTATCTCGACAAATGTCAAACATATATCTGTCTCACTTTAAGTTCTAAAGTTATGTACAATAGTACAACCACAGAAAATAGACCTATGGCAGAGAGAAGTCTGAAGTGGACATCCTCTCTGGTATTCTTGGTTTCTTCTTTTTCGTATAGCAAACCTCGTCTCGTAGGGTAATATCTACGTTTTTGTGGTTCTCTTCCATACTATTACGTGGGTTAGACAAGGACGAGCAACAACTGTCGAGATAAAGCAAAGTGTAATAAAATTTCTCAATGAAAAATGTTTATCTTGTTTTTTTTTTTATAAAATAATGATAAGATAATACTTTAAGAGTGAAATTATACTTACTTAATTAAGCTCCATTTATTATTTATTTCTTAAAAGAGATGGCAATAAAATTTTCTATCCTGTATGCTCTTATGTCAGAAAATAAGGAAAATTATATGACCATTCCTTCCATTTTTTTAAGGTGAAGAACTTCCTTAAAAACTTCCTCAGTCACACTGATTATTATTATTAAATTTAACAGTTAATTATTATAATTATGACAATTTTAATATAAATATAATAGGCACTGTTCAATTCCATATACAAGCAGAGTGTAACAATGACCGACACTCAATAGAGGTACCAAGAAAACTACACTTTTACATTATTAAAACCCTTTACTTCCCGCGACTTATAACACACTCACACAATTTTGTGTGTGTGTGTACATATTATACAATTAAGCCTAATGTGTCGGTTGTGTTATGCTGGATTAATATAGGTTTTTGTTCGCGTTACTTGAAATTTCCAAAAATTTTTACACTTAAAATGAGATATATATTTGGACGTTGAAAAAATAAAAAGCAAAAATTCTAAATGCAAAAAGTCTAGCAATGCAAATAGACCTATTTCTTATATTAATTTCAAATATAATGGAAATTACGTAGATGTCCCATCAAATTAACATTATGCAAATTATTGTCACTATATATCCCATACACTATAATATACAGTACATTAAGGTTGAATCAATATCTCAGAAAGATTGAATTGCAACATTGCAGCAACATCGCGAAATGTAGATTTAATGTTGAAGAGATGTTACAGAGAATTGTTTGTTGAATTGCAATGTCTATGAGATATCTAGCTGATACACCTTGGAAAAAATTTTTCATATCAATTTAGTTTTATTATTAAAATAAGTAATATTGATTAACAGCATATTTTGGAATACACACGAAAATTATAATATGATTGAAAAAAAAATGTTCCCTCTTATTTAGAAATTAATTTCCTCATCTTCCTAAGCAGTTACCCCATCTATCGATGTTAAACCCCCCCGTGGGGGTATAACCACTATCTGAAATACTGTCCCACAGATTACAAGATTTCATTTAATTTTATATAATTTTTATTAAACGATTTTATCTAATATTACACAATTATTTCATATACATACTTGTATATGTAATTATCGGATTATATATCGGAATTTCATATAAATTTTATAATGATTTCAGGGACTCCGTCCTACGATTATATTAAGTGATTACTTCCTCGGTTAAACCTATATATATGGAATGCGTATGGGAACTGTTATACTTCGATGATCTCTACGAACACTAAATATTAGTGGATGTATAATTGTGTATATTGTATTATGTATAGAAAGACCAAGAGTTGCGCGATGTACGTGTTTAACTGACCAAATACAAACAATACCACACGTACGAGCCTCCTGCACGCGCGGCTGATTCCCGCGTAAACATATATTGTTTAAAGAAATGAGTTTTGTTAAAAGGTCAATTAAAATGATTTAAATTTTTTATTTACATAACATTCAAACAAATTCGTTAAAACATTTAATTTTATTCTAATATATTGCGAAGAATATTACATTATTTTTGGCGTTTCATCCCGGCTTCCACTACTGGATTCATCAGTAAGGCATTGGCAGTGTAATAAAATTAAATGTTTTAACGAATTTGTTTGCTCGTAAACCCTTTCTCTCTTTATTATTAGTTTGAAAAACTTAACGAGCCTTCTCACTACATGTTTTTACATAACATTCTATGTGTTCATTTTTTACAAAATAAAATAGTCGATATATAATTTATTCAACATTGTTTCAACGTTGCTCAGCAATATTAACAATCAATATGGAAAAATAAATAAAGATTCAACTTGTAGTTCTGTAGTTTGGTCAATATTGTTTCAACGTTACAGCAACATCAACAATCAATGTAGAAGATCAATATATATACGACATTGATAAAACATTGACACATTCTTCATTTGACATTGCAATATCCTTTCAGCGTTCTTTATGGGTATTTGAAACGAATACACTGACTGTGATTTTTTAAGCGTAATTAAGATAACATTAAAGTCATGTAAAAAAGACATGCGTTGTGTATCAATATAGTCATAAAAATGTATACTTCTGACGGCATATACGTCATCATGTTTGTTGGATTAACATACGCATAATATTCAAATATTTAGCCAGCGTTGTTAATTTATCATTTTCTATTATTGATTATAAAACGGTCTGCAAATAACAAGTCGTGTTGCGGAGTTACTGGTACTAAATGTAAATTTGAATTTCGATAATGACCAAGTTAAAAAACACATTCAAGATAATTATACTAATTGCAGCTGTGTTAATACAATAAGTCATTTATTGTCACATATTATGCCTTAATTACATGCAAATGGCTTATTGAGAAATTTGCAAAAGTATATAAAGTAGATCAAGAACATTTTTGCATTACAGTCGTGTCGAAATTCTGCTTCTTTTCTGCTATTAAAGATACAAAAAGATGGGATTCGCGAAATTATTTGTTTTGACGTTAGTAATCGCTGTTAATCTGCAGGAAATTTATGGACATGGAATGATGATGGATCCTATAAATAGAAGTAGTGCTTGGAGAAAAGGTTTTCCCGTAGAACCTAACTACACTGATAATGAACACTATTGCGGTGGATACATGGTATGTATACACGACTATAAAATTGGTTGTAAAAAAACTTTGCAAAAGATGTTGACAACAATAAATATTTTTTTTATTAAGTAGTTATATTAGGATATCAATAATTGGCTATTTTAATTTAATTTAAGTTGTTTTAAAAAGAATTATACATATATGTTTTCCTTTGAAAACTTTATGTGATACTATAATATATCTATGTACAATTCCGTATGGAAAGGAATCATTGAGAACTTTATTGTGAGAACTATTCAAATTTCTTATTAAATTTCTATAGTTACTTGAACAGTATAACTAATTGACGACGTGTATGAATATCCCTGGGCCTCTATTCTGTAACTCTTAACGCAAGTTTCGTTATCGTTATAATGCCACTGCGCAGCTCTTTTATTATGGTAAAAAGCTGCGCAGTGGCGTTATAACGATAACGAAACTTGCATTAAGAGTTACAGAATAGGGGCCCTGGCAAAAAAAATTGGCCGACATTTTGTTGAAATTTTATTAAAATTTCACTGAAATTGTCCTTGGTTTTGGAACACTTTTCAATGAAATTTCAGCGAATTTTGCTGAAAAAATTTTAGAAAAATAAAATAAATTAATAATTTACAATAAGTGAGAAATAATGCCTATACCTGTTGGATCTTAGATCAAGATGCTTTTAAATAATTTCATGTGAATTTACATACCACATTTGTAATTTTTTGAATTGCGCGCCGAATTGGTTTCTCGAATTTAAAGGCCCCACACACATATTCTATTAACTATAATAGCTCTGACATACTATAACGCAATGTGCGATGCGATGTGCGATATATGATACGCACGATATCCAATAAACGTACAGTTCTTTTAGAAAAGCAGTACGTTGATTAGATATCGTCCGTTGCATATCGTAAATCGCATTGCACATCGCGCTGTTGTGCCAAAGTCAGCAGAGATGTTATACCATAAGAATAAATCATAGCAGAGTTTTTGATTCTAGACTGTAATTAGCTAACTCTTACGATGTCTTATTAGGTTAGTTTGGATCTACAATAGGTTTTTAAGCCTTATGCCATAAGAAATGGAGGAATCACAGTCAATTATTCTCCTCAACTTCGAATATAATTGGTCAATTTCTTATGGCTTAAAAGACTAAAACACTTATTGTAGATCCGGATTAACAATAAGACATTAAGGTAGTCTAAATCTAAAGATTTATTTTGTAATCATTTTATAATGTTATAACCTTTCAATGAAATATTTCTTTAATATTTTTGCAATTTTTCTATGCTGTATGGGAAACAATTTGATCAGAAATAAAAAAAGATATATATCTCAAGTGATGTTTAAAAGATAGATATAATTTTTTATTATAGGTTCAGCACGGAAATAATAATGGCAAGTGCGGAGAATGCGGTGACAGTTATTCCTTACCTCGACCGCGGCCAAATGAAAATGGCGGCATCTATGGAACAGGTCTCATTGTTCAAAAGTAAGTAAATTGCAGATAATAATGACACTGTTCTAACAAATCAATGTATAATTAAAAAAAAACTAAAATATTATAAAATACTATAAAATATTCTCTAAATTTTTATTGAATTACGATCACGTGTATTGTGCCGATTCACGTAGGATACAGTTCGCGTCGAACGACCATGGCTATACGCGAGTCGCTAAATTATATATTTTGACATTTTTTACATTTAAACGACAGCTGAACTAATTGAACTCTAACTCTTATTTCAATTTATAACTTAAATTCAAATTATATTTATAAGGAAACTGTTTTTATCTCTATGAATAGAAATATCATAACGCTAAATTCAACAAACATTACACTCAGAAAAAAATATAGCACCAGATAGTACAATTGGAGAGTGCTCTTCTATAAATAATAGTACAAATAGGGACAGAGATAATTTGTAATGAATGAGTCTAAAAGATTATTCTAAGAAACTTAAGTCTCAAATCAATTGACAAACTGCTTAAAAGGCTGTAAAGAATTGCAGTATTTAACAAAATCTAAAAGGTGTAGTAATTTTAAATAATATTGTTAGAATATTTTGACAAATTGTAGAAAACATATCTACAATTATTGTAAAACAATTTATTTTTTATGTTTAAAGTAAAGTGAACAAATTGTATTTACAATGACTATAAACTATATGATAAAAGAAGCAAAACATTATTAGAAATTAATGTTAGTTGTTTTTAATATTAAGAATATTATTTTATAGAGTTCTACAATAACGCACTAAATTTTAACTAAATTTTATAGTATAATTTCATAACCAGTGCTTAACAAGTTACTCTTAATGTATTATAATTAATTAAAACGTTGTAGGAAAATGTTTTACTTTTTATTAATAAAATATATTTGTGCGTTTGTTTCACAGAGTCACAATTTTTGCGTGTTTGCATGTGACAAAATAAATTTGTTACAAAATTGTAGCTAATCTGTGTATTTTCTATTTTCCATTATGTTACAATTTAAAGTTACTTATAACTGACAAAATTAAGTCTACAATATTGCAATTTTTCCATATAGTCATAATATAATTCAAAATCTATTAAAATTTAATATACTATTTTTTATGATAAACTATCACACTCTCAATGCATATTATCTTATATTTCATTATGTAGATATAAGGCAGGTTCCGTCATCGAAGTAACTGTTCGCCTCACTGCCGCCCACTTGGGTCATTTTGAATTCAACCTTTGTCCACTGAAGACGACAAAAGAATTAGAAACTGATAAGTGCTTCAGTATGTATCCCTTGCCAAGGGCTGACGGTAACGGCTATAAATATCCCGTTCCTAAGGATGGCGCAAAAGATTACAAAATTAAACTGGTTCTACCAAAGGATATTACGTGTAAACAATGTGTGGTTAGGTTAGTACTGGAGGCAACCTCATTTTGTTTTATTTTAATTACTAATTTAATTTTTAATTTGATTTTAATTTAATTAAATAATATAATGTAAATTAAATAATATAAGGGTTGTGATTCTTTTTTTATTAGGTGGCATTATCGTACTGGCAATACTTGGGGCACTTGTCAGGATGGATCACAAGCCGTAGGTTGTGGACCCCAAGAAACGTTTAGGAGCTGCTCTGATGTCACCATCACAAATTAATTTATCACCTACTTCAGATTGGATCTCTTAACACACATACATACAGCTAAATATAGCTTTATATCATTGCTGCTTTCGGTTTGGACACGCGCTTTAAGCGTCCAAACCGAACGCAGCTTATATCAAAATTTTCACTTAAAGAATTTTGATCTAACAGGTTCTGACAAATAAATAAAGAAAATAAATAGCAAAAAGTTACTTTTTAGGTACAAAGAGAGATTTTCTATCCTTTATTCCTAAAACTTGAATTTCAGAAAATTGATAGAAAAAATATATGTATATATAAAAGTCCGACTTCTTTTTTTGACGTACCATTTAACATTATCCGACCTTTCTCTCCCCCGCCCTCCGGAGGTGTTAAGGTGGATGCTACCGAAGTTAAATGATAGATTTTATTATATTCCATCTTTTGTATCTCTCTATAATTAAGCTTCAATCCTGTATCTCAAACCATTCAGAAGTTATTTAGGTCGCTCGGAATTTTGGCTGGCATATATACCAGAAATATTTATTAAATTACTATTATCGTAAATATTATATACAAAGTATTGTCCATATTTTAATAATATTTCAAATAAAGGTTACATAAAATATGTATAGGTATAATACGTATAAAAATATATAATATATATATTTATGTATAATATATTTCAAAAAGGAAAATTGGTAAAAATGTTTGCGAAAATTTGTCATAAATATATTTTGTACTGTCTGAGTAGTCACAATTTTGGATTAATTTCTAAATAAAACACAGTACTTTTAAAAATTACTTAAAAATATGGCATGCATATTAAAGCTGAGGCGTTTATATGGCGCCTAGTACAAATATAAACGACCTGTAGCAAGGTTAACGCGGCCGTATCCGGGCCCATGATAGAAGACACACACAAAGAAGAGGTAGGCCAATGCGAAACTCGTCAGAGAAGGCGAATCCCGTTCACCGTTGTACAGCATTACAGCTCCGGCCTCGGCACGGATCGCCAACGAAACGAGAGAGAGCGGCAGTCAATCGGTCACCGTACACGCGTGCTTTCAGCGGTGTCCCCGGCAGTGTGTTTCGAGAATTGCTAACTCTATAAATTCCTTCCACCTTCTCTCTCTTTCTCCTCGCCCCCCCCCCCTTCTCTCTCTCTTTCTCACTGCCCGTTCATATCCATACATACATACGAAGTGGATTGTTCTCTCTTTCTCTCTTTCTCTCCTCGCTATTCAGGACTCTGAAACTCGTTTCAGTCAGTCACGGATTGTCCGTTGTTCCTTCGTTGTTGGTTCACGCGTTGTTGATCGTGGGTAGCAACTCACTCTAGATAAAAACGTGGATCTATATTTTTTTTTCTTGATCTGCGTATTTTTTCTCGATCGTCTAATCTTCTTGTTAAAGAATTTAGTGAGTGCGCATGAACGAATGAGTGTTTATGGATATATATCTGTATAGAAGAATGCGGTAGGATGCGTATCCAGAAAAGATGTTTCTTGCTGGGTCTCTGCCTCTTAGGCAGAGTCGCCTTTTCCTTAACAGCCGTCAATACTGAAATTACCACGTTACCTGGTAAGCTTCTCTCAAGGAATAAATTCATTCTGATCGAAAAACAAGTTCTTGAATTGTTAAAAAAATAGCGACGGACAACAAAAATTATAATATAAGAAAGTATTTTTAAAGATCACTATATATTTCAGAAACAAAAAGTCGTTCAAAAGTAGGCATATATGTTATATATAATTATAATATTGAAATTTTGTTAATATACAGTAATATCAGTAAAAAATGTCACATCTTCGTGTGAAAGTTTTAAAGAATAAGATTTTTTATGATTATTATATCTACATAATTCATAAAAAATTTATAAAATAAACAATTTTCAAAAATTATTTAAGTTCTTGAATCTGAAATCTTCTAATGGTTTCTATGTCTAAAAAATTGTATTTCTTTAAAAAAAAATGTCCTTTTTTGTTTTTTTATATCCCTTATAAATAATATATGCCCGACTCTTGTATGAATAAAAATGTAAATATTGATGTAATAGAAAAAAAAGAAAGCTTTATTTTCTTCAAACTTAAATTATAATTTTAAATAAGACACTCATCGTGATATGCATTTTATTTTGTTCGAGTAATAATAAGGCACATTTATTAAAGCAGTGAATGAAACGCGTAAGTTTGCGTGACGTAGCCGGAGACCTCAACGACTGCGCAGAAAAGGCGCTCGGTTTTCTCAGATTCTCTTACGATACTTATTTGGGCCAGATCGGACTAATTAATAAAGAAAATTAGTTCTAATATTTTGTTTTTTTTTATGATTCGCAATTACAGTGTGCTTCGTGAGCTGAGATATTGATTTGTATTTATATCAGTTATATTCAGTCTAACAATTGTATATACTTAACGTTTTTTGGCGAAAATTAAGAATAATTTCACTTATTTGAATTTATTAAATGTTTAAAAATATAAATATCAAACAGTATAAGTATATTTACATTTACTTGAAATCAATTCTTAATGTATCGCACTGTTGGAAAATTAATTATGCTGTACATAACACATTTTACATGTTCCAAACGGTCCACTTGTCAGATCTCTTTGTGTTCATTTAACATATTAGTGTTAGAAAACACAAATTGTGTAAAGAGTGATTGCAAAAACGATACTACTGATGCTTCTGAATTAAAAAAACACTTTTTAAACATCTATTTATTATTTTTATACTAAATAAATATTAAAAAAACATTTTTTGAATTTTGTTTAATTTAAACATATGTGTGCTAATTGAGGTACTGTTGGCTTTTTTATGACACAATCATTCATAATTAATAATAAGATAATAATCTTCACAAATTAATTTTTGATTGTTGATTCGATGCTAATTAACACTCAAAATGCTCTAAGAAACGTGTTGTAAAAAATATTACCTCAACTGGAAATCGAACGTAGGACCTTTCTATTTTCCGGGCGGGTGCCAATAATAATCATCTCGACTACTGAGACATCGTAACGATATTTTTTTAATTTATTGCTATGGGTGATCTTCTGCAGATCATTTTGTATGCTTTTCTGACGAATTTAGAAAGTAAAGTATCTGCTCCGACATATCTCTAATATATTATCTTCTTATAGCTACTATAATTCAGATATGCAAAATTTTACGATTTCTGTATACGTTATGTGCGTTATTTTTTGAGGAGAGGAGTGTACATTAAAAATTTATTAATTTCAAAGAAGTAAAATTTTTAATAATTTTACTAGATATTTAAATTTCTTAAACATTATGTTCTTTTTGCTTATAGATAACAATGGCGAAGGTATTCTAGGAGTTCAGTCCCCTCATACAGAATGGCGGAATGATACAACAGAATTAAAAAGTGTATATCCAACAAAAGAAGCTGACATAAAAATAACAACTGAAGCTAAGAAAAAGTCAGTAATGGACTTTAAAGTCAAAAGCGATCAAAAGTACCAAAAACCCGTCATTAATACTAACTCACAGGAGACTGTAGACTCTCACACTGCAGTAATGTCGCCAGTTTTACCCACGATTTTACCTGAGACAAAAGTAGATCAATCTTCAGCAATAACAAAACCTATGAACACTACGAATATAACGACTCCGTTTCTTCTTCACGGGGTACCAATGGTCGCTGTAACGAAGACGATGTTACCAACTAGTCGTGCTGTCCAGGATACGACAAATAAGAAAGTGGGAATTCCGATGATGAAAGAGACAATGTCATCAAGGGGTAGAGACTTAAATGGCACTTCCTCAGAGCCAATGAACTCATTGCACGCTAATATCACGGATCTCAGTGATATCAGCATGGATGATGATGACAAAGAAGTTGAAGGTATATTGTTGTTTTTTTATATATAGTCTTACTTTGCACAACACGAGCGAATTTTATTTATAATTTGTTTAAACAATTAACGAAAATTTTTTTAAATGAGAATTACAGGACTATTAGATTTATATTTTATAGGATTATTAGATATTTTTTTATGAAAAATTCATATAAGCAGTTATTCGTTATTTTTCCACCATCTTATTTGTTGTAAAAAGATATAATTACTCAAATTATATTAGCGATCCTCATAGGATTATATCTACGGATTTAAGTTCCCTTCTTTTTATTATTGTTACTTGTTGCTTAAAGCAGCCGATACAATAAATGATTTTTATAAATTTTTGTTTTTGAAAACGAATCTACACATGAAATTGCTCTACACACATCACGTTTTTGTAACTTTATCTCAAACTTTACTCAAATACTTTATCTCAAAAGTACAATACTATAAACGCCATCTTTTACATCATTTAAATGGAGCTTTCTCAACGATATGACGGGATAAATTAATTTTATTTACGAATTTATTTTGGACGACAAAAATTCTATAAGAGTCACTTTGTCTAACTCATGGTCTAAAATCCATATCGGACAGTGTAATTAATCAATAATAATAATATACATAGATCTGATCATACCTTTTTAATTTGATTATTGCAACACATTTATCTTATAATACAGTAAAATTTATCATGTAGGACTGAAAGATTAGAAAATAGAATATTTTAATTTTACTTTCTACATCTGAATCAGTGGATAATTTCTGATATCAATCCTAAGTATTTATGTTATTACTATGGTAATCAGTGAATGAAATCTTCTAGCTAATTACCTTTTTTTTATTATTTGATCCAATTAACCTTGTTTTAGTAATAAATCAACGTATATGATATTGAAAGATTGCAACTAACGTCGATGATATTTTAATTATATAATATTCTAACTTCCTTTCATTTTCAGTTGAATTTCATTATTACCAGTGTCAAATATGCGCCACTAATTTCCAGTGCCAGGTATGTCACTGATTATCCGATTTAGTGATTGATCCACTGATTCAGATTTAAAGAGCATCTAAAAAATAGATTAATTAAAAATGTTACGGTTGATTTCGTGTTTATGTATTTATAATCCGTTAATTTCAAAATTTTATTATATTGTATATTTTGACGCTAAAAAAGACAGTTTGGAAATCATTTCCAAAATTCTTAAGAGTGTCTTCGTTGAGAGCCTAAACAATCAGATTAATTGTCTCTAGGCGGAGAGTATATCGCACCACATAACGAAACTGCCATAAACATTTCTTCGACGTTATTTCCGAAAGCATCAGTGTGTATCCATGGAAATCGCACTTACTCATTAGGCGAAAACGTTGTCCGAGACTGCGAAGAAAAGTGCATATGCTCCGAGAGTGGAATTACGAATTGTCAGCCGTTATGTGTTTCTCCTTATGTCAAA